ATTTTAATCTGTTTTAGGTCATTCACAAGGCACCACTACTCCAATTGTTTTGCTGTCGGAGAAACCTGAATACAATGAGAAAATTGCTGCTGCAGCTCTAATGGCGCCAGTGGGTTATTTGGGGAATTTAGGAGCGCCTGCGCAAGCTCTATCAAAGACCCGCAGGCTGCAAGAGGTAATAGATCATTTTATAATTATATGTTCAATTTAGTCAAGACTGTTTCTTTTTTCCCATTTTAGCTATTCAAAGACACTGAATTCCTTCCAAGAGGTTCTTTTACTGAACTTTCCTCCGATTTTTGCGATGTCATACAAGTTGGTATTTGTGAAGGTATTATAAATGGCTTGTTCGGCCCAAGCGAAGGGGAAACAAATAAGGTATATCATGATATATTACCCACGCTTTAATCCCATTATTAATATCTCGAGCCATTTTAGTTCAATACTTAACCGTTAAGCCAATTTGGGCCAAGTGATGGTCCCCCTAGATATAAAAGTATTCGCTCTAATGCAACTAACAGGTCGACTTGGACCTGGATATAAGCTATGTTTCCCTTCGTGGCAACCTGTGGAAGTTCAGCACCTGAACATCCCAGATGGGGAAATCAAAAAAAAAGCGTTGCGTCATTGTAACTTTAGGCCAAAATGGGTTAAACAATGAATTAATTCATAATTTCTATATACATTTCTAGACAATGCTTCCCTCTCACCTATGCCACTTTACAAGTGGCGCATCACTCAACCAAGTCTTTCATTATAATCAAGAAATAGAATATGGATATTTTGGACCATACAAAACTGGTTCAGATATACCACGCGATTTCAATTTTTCGCAAATCACAGCACCGATGTCGTTTCATTATTCACCCGTCGATACATTCACGGATACAACAGATGAAGATCGATTGACATCCCAAATCAAGAGTATTGCTTTTGTTCAAGTTATTAATGAGACAAAATTCAATCATATCGATTTCGTGTGGGGCATCCATGCTGCTCCACTGGTGTATTCAAGAATATTGGAATTCTTTGAATCGATCCAATGAATAAAGTTCAAGTTCAAATTACCTTTTATCGAATGGTAGTGTTTGGGTAGTGTGATAGCGTAGTTTTAGGCATTTGTG